AAAAGGGGAAAAGGAAAATTCGAGCGCATATCAAGTCGTAAACCTTTGCCCGTCGGGTGGGGGGCAGAATCCCATAATTTGTCGCCCCATTTTGTTCCTAATTTGTCGCTCATTTGGCGCGCACCCCGTGAGGCGTAGTTTGACCATTTTATTAGTACAGGCCAACCGGAGCAGCTAGCGAGGAAGGAAGAGAAAACATGAAAATCTTCGTGTCCCCCGGGACAGTACTCAATTGGCCTCTCCATTTTCGCGTCAGGGGAGAAGCCGTGCGTAGGAATGAAAATAAAAGGAAAACTTCCTCATCCCAAGCTGGGGAAGCCAACTTGAGGGGAAGTTAAACATACAGCAGTACTTTTATCAAACTTTACGTGAACAGGCCAAAAATGCCTAAGGGGGATTCCAGGAAAAAGAGGCAGGGAAGTGATAGTAGCAGGGAAAAACACAGCAGAACAAAGGGGGCAAAACAGCGGAGAGAAAAATCCCCATTTGACTCTAGTGATGATGATGGAAGTAAAGGGGAAAGGACAAGAAGGAAAGGCGTAAGGAGTAGGTCTTCTTCCGATGAATCGGAAGAAGCGGAGAGGAAAATTGCCACATCACATAACAAAACTAAAAGAGACAAAATCAGAAGAATAAGTCAGAAAAAGAAATCACCACACCGTTTGGATGAACATTACACTAGTAGCAGCGCTGCATCTTCCCCAAGAAGAGGGAAGTCCAGTTCGGAAGGAAGAAAGAGTGGGAGGAAGAAGGAAAAAATGGACCACTCCAGGAGTATGGAGGAATACAGTAGCGTTGATTCAGAGGACAAGTCGTCCCAAGGGGTAAGCCCAAGCACCTCCGGTTCGAGCGCTGACTCGGCCTCCGTCAGTCGTGGAAGAGGCCGTAGAGGAAGAAGTCAGGAGAAGCGAAATGGAAAAATGGTGAGAGAAAAAAGGGTAGGGAATCGGCACAAAAGGGTAGAAGCGGAAGAAGTGGAAGAGGCCGAAGAAGCCGAGAGAGGTGTCGATCCAGATGAAGGCGAGTCCCAAGCCGGAGGTATCCGCAAAGACAGCCGCCACATCAGAGAAACGATGACTGAGACGAAGAAGGAGAAAATTAAGGGGAGAAATAAATCCAGCAGCGCTTCGTCAGAGGATTCTGATGAATGTGCGCCCCATGCGAAAAGAGGGAGGCAACTGAGGGAACACGATAGAGGAGGCAAAAGGGGTAGGCGCGCAAAGGATAAACACAAATCAAGTGATGAGGGACACCATAGGAAGGATGTTGATAAAGGAAAAGTGAAAAACGGGAATAGGAAAAGGAGGCGACATCATAGCAGCCGCAGTAGCGGAAGCAGCAGTAGCGATGCCGGGGGAAGATCTGAGGTGAAAAAACGTATTCGACCTAATGAGAGGCGAATCGATAAGAGAGAAAATAGGACAAGCGCGTCGGCCAGCTCGGGGGACACCGACGTGGGGCGCAGAATGACCAAGCGTGGCGAAACTAGTGACTCAAGGAGGAATAAAAAGAGGGATGGGAAGGACCACATGTCTCATGAGAGAAAGGAAAGACACAACGATAAGAAGCCCGAAAGGGGAAAAAGAAGAAGGGATGATCGGTCGATATCATCCAGCTCGGGAAGCATACCAAGAAAGGAAAGGCAAGATTCGTCGCGACGACGCAAAGAACGTGATGCTTCATCTGGCTCAGATGAGTCGCGGGGGAGCTGTCGCTCCGGGGACGGGACAAGCAGCAGCGGAGGCGCCTTGGACAGGAGAAAAAGGAAGAGGGTGAAAGGCACCCGGGCGAGGAGCGGCAGCAGCAGCGATGGTAAAAGCAAAAGCAGTGATAGCAGCCGTGGAAGCAGTAGCAGCAGTAGCGATGGCAGCTCGGTGAGCATCTCGGTGAGCAGCTCCGATGAAGGGAGGAAAGGGAAAAAGGGGTCCAAACCAGGTCGTAGGCTGACCCGCCAGGCGGAGAAACCGCGCAGCCTAGACGACACACACGACCCGGAGGTCCCGTTTGACCCCTTCGCGGAGGACCAGAACGGAAACCTTGAAATTAACGAGGAGCTAATCGAATACGCGAAGCAAAAAATCGCGAATGTGACGACTGAGGATATAGGAAGAGCAGGAGGAGTGTACATACCGCCCTTCAAGTTGGAGAGGCTGAAGAAGGAAATAACGAACAAGAACAGCGTCCTCTATCAGAAGCAAGAATGGCTCAAATTAAAAAAAAAAATTAACAACATAGTGAATAAGGTCAATGTGGATAACATAGGAGACGTATGTTACGAATTATTCGAATGCAATTTGATCCGAGGGAAGGGCATATTCAGTCGTGCAGTGATCCATGCGCAGCTAAGTTCCCCAGCATTTACTCACGTGTTTGCAGCTTTATTGTGCATCGTCAATTCAAAGTTTCCAACAATAGGGTTACTCACCATACAAAGAGTCATCCTACATTTTAGAAGGTCTTACAAAAGAAACGATAAAATAGTCTGTCTTAATAGTGTAAAATTTATTGCACATATGATTAACCAAAGAGTTCTTCACGAAATTGTGGGGCTTCAGCTATGCTCTATACTTCTACAAAACATAACGAATGATTCCGTACAGGTGTGTACATACTTTTTAGCAGAGGTTGGACAACTGTATATGAATATATGTCGCAAAGGAATCGATATCATTTTCGATCGGATAAAGGACATTATACAAGAGGGGAAGATTAACATAAAGACGCAATACGATATCGAGAAACTGTGGAATTATAGGAAGAATTATTTTCGTGATTTTCCTACCATCCTTGAAGATCTAGATCTCATTGATGAAGAGGAGAAAATCGTACACGAAATTGACCTTCTGGATGAGACTTTTGAGAATCAGGAAGAGCTCAACATCTTTAGGGAGGTGCCTCACGAGCAGTACGAGGAGGAGAATATCGAGTGGGACAATATTGCCAAGGAGTTGCTGCACGGAGATGCCTCTGGCGGGGGAAGAAACAGAAGGGACAAAAGCGATGGAAGTGCTGGAAGTGGTGGAAGCGACGGAAGAGATGGAAGCGATGGAAGAGACAGACACCAAAGAAGCGATGGAAGTGACCAGAGCAGCACGGACTCGGAAAACGACCAGGGCGGGGCGCCCTCCCACAGTGATAGCAGCGATGGAAGTGGCCGTGCTGCTGCTGATGATGATGCCGATGACGGAGACGACCAGCCCAAAGAAGAAATAACCGACATGACAGAGCAATACCTCATCAATCTCCGGAAAAACGTCTACCTATCCATCATGTCCTCCCTTAGCTTCGAAGAATGTGTCCACAAGTTACTAAAATTAAACATAAAAGAAGGATACGAAATAGAAATATGCAACATGCTGATCGACTGCTGCTGCATGGAGAAGACGTTCCAAAAGTTCTATGCCCTACAGGCAGAGAGGCTATGTAAGCTAAAAACTATTTATCAGGAAAATTTCCAAAAATGCTTCCAGAATTCGTATAGTACGGCCCATAGGTTGGAAACAGCCAAATTGAGAAACTGTGCAAAGTTATTTGCCCATTTACTCTACACAGATGCTGTTTCATGGAGCATTTTCGTCGACATAAAACTGTCTGAGGAAGACACTACATCGTCCACTAGAATTTTCCTCAAAATTCTGTTGCAGGAGTTGACTAACAATTTAGGCATGCAGGCATTTTATCACAAAATTCATCACCCTGCGATTTCGCCCTTCATGAGTGGTTTATTCCCGGCCGACAATGCTCAGGACATTCGCTTTTGCGTGAATTTTTTCACGGCCATCGGCTTGGGCGCCCTCACCTCTTCGATGCGGAAGTTGCTCCAGGGGTGAGCACTTCCGTAGTGAAGCATTTGCGCAGTGAAGCCGTTTCGTAGTAAAGCAGTTTCGAATGAAGCCGTTTCGTTCTCGTATCTGCATGCTTCTTAGCTGCATTATGCGCAACGGCTCAAACGGGGCACTACTCATTTGTGATCCTCCAAGTGGCGAAAAAACTTAGCTGGGTCCCTTTGGCCAAATTTCTTTGTGCTCCACCTAGTGTGTCACCAACCACACGCAGCACGCCTTTTTAGTTTTTCCCCGCAACAACTTCTTCACCAATTTTTTGTCATCTTAAGATACATTTGGCTTTTGTCTGGAGACGATTAGGGACGCCGCCTGCATCTGCGCGAGGGAGTACCCGCATGGGTGTGAGTCGTGTATTATATAGACTGCAGGGGGCACATTTGTGCCTACTTTTTTAGGTTCACCCTTCCCCTAGATCGGACGACAAACCCATTGGGAAAGATCCTCTTTTCATTTTTGACTCCATTCACCTACCATCAGGGCGTACTTACACGCCACGTCCTCCAGGGCGACATTCACTGCGGAAATTCGCGAAAACAGGGCTTCGTTTTTCTGTTCAATTTTTTGCAACCTCTCCAGGTGTAGCTCCGCTTCTGGGGGTGTGAAGCGGGGTCGAAAAAAAAAAATAAAATAAATAAAAATAAAATAAAGCAAAACAAAACAAAATAATCATACGGATGGCAAAACATGGTTCGAATTGTTGACCACGCGCGCGACGAAGAGACGGTTACTCCACCCACATGAATAAGAAGACTCATTCCGGAGGAGAAGCAGCCACCACAGACAGGCAGATAGACAGACAGGCAGATAGACAGACAGGCATATAGACGGCCACACACAATCTTACCCGACATTTTGTAGCTGTTTATATTTTCCTTTAGCTGCAGAATTTTCTGAACTTGCTGGCTGTAAGTTTTCATGAAATCCAAGTGAGACAAAATGATGTTCCGCTTGTACTCAAAGGTATTGTAAACATCGAGGATGCTGTTGCTGTGGATGTAGATGTAGAAGTCGTTGTCTGAGGGAGGGGAAGAAGTGGTACGGTCAGCTGGAAGCCAATTGGTAGGAGGTTTCTCCACAGTGTAAATGAGCGCGGGGAAGATGTATTTTCCACGTGTAAGGAATGCATGAATGGTGGGAAAGACGGAAAAGAGGCACGAGGGTAATCCCCATTGCTTGGCTTTTTTTTTTGCCCCCCTTTTAAGCATTACATTGGGCATAGATGTCTTGGAGGAACTCCTTCGCGATCTGCTGCAGAATCAACTTGATGGTGCAAATGTGGACGGCTACGCTGTTCTTGTGCCCGTGCTTCTTAATGAGTTCTATCATCTCGTCTTTGTGCGTGCCCAGGAGGTCTTCGGATGAGGAGAGAGAAAAAAAAAAAAAAACATATATATATATAACATTAACTTGGCGTACGCCCGTGCAACATGATGAGATTTTCTTCTGACTACGCGTAAACATGAGCGCAGGTATCCTAACCCGTCGGTACGTTTTCCAAACGGGACTTTATTTCATTGTAGTCCTCTTCGTCTTCTCTGCTTGGCTCAGCTCTCTGTCCCTCATCGTGACCGTGGTGGTCATGGCGGTCGTCATCATGGTGCTCATCACCGTCGTTATCATGAGGGCCATCAAAACTAACAATAGGTTTATTAAGATAGTCCTCCTCTCTCCCTTCGACTGTTTTTACGCCACTAGCAGATGATGAGCCATCTTTAGGAAGCCTTTTTGCGTCGCTTGCTTTTTCGTAAAATTTTATGCTACCTATAGCTTGTTCTATTCTGATCATCCTATTTGTGAGATTTTCTAAAAGGGTTTTTTTCTCTGCACAATTTAACTTCATTTTGGGCAGGATAAGAATAGCAGCTATATTGTCGTTTCTGTTTGGGGTCTTATACATTCAAAGGGAATCTTTCGAGTGTCCGTTAGGCAAAGGAGTCGTCCTTTTTGTTTTTTTTTTTTTTTTTACTCTGACACGAGTAGAGGCTAACAAACTGTTACTACGGGCGTGCACACATGTGTGCGTAGCTGGTATGTAAACATAACCCCTTCTGTGTTCTGTTTGTCGACATATTTCCTCGCAGTGGTAACGGTTAAAAGAAAAATCTGATTTGTCACTCCTGCTTATCCCCCATAAGTTGCTTCCTTAACAGCACGCTTGCATGTGCGTACACACCTGTAGTGCATGCACTTATGGGAACAACCACGGGAAGCCGCTCCATCGGAATGCAGAAAATTGCAAGGAAAATCACGAATGGGGGAAAATCCCAATTTTTTTCTTACCAATTCGCTTTATTTTCCCTAAAAGGGCAAAGCGGGGTATGCTGTAAGAATAACGCCACTCAGTTGGGGTGCAACGCGGATGTGACGCTTGGACAGAGCACGCGGGGGGAATCAAAGCGAAAAAAAAAAAAAATAATAATAATAATAAAAAAAGATAAAAAAAATAATGGTGAAAAAAAATTCATGTTGCTAACAAATTGGGTCAACTTTCACCCCAGCACACATTTTGTGCCATTTGGTTCCATTCGCATGAATGGCCCCTTTCAAGGATTGCAATTTTGCAACTTGGCAGTCTTGTCAATTTGCAGCTTTGTCAATTTGCAGTTTTGTCAATTTGCAGTTTTGTCAACTAGCAGGTTTGTCAACTAGCATCTTTGTAACCACAGAGCTTTGTCACCGTGCAGTTTTGTAACCCTTGTCTGTGCCGCTAAGCATGCACATTTTTATGCCCTCGCGCACTCGCGCCTTGCTCTGGTACACTCCTTTTTGCGTGAAGATTTCGCAGAGGGGCCTCCGCGAGACAAAAACTGCGCACTCGCGTGGGGAAGGAAGGTGTTCCCTTCAGAGTATCTGAGAGCCTCCCACCCTCTCCGCGTTAAGCATACGTGATTGCACGTGTCTGGAGACGCATATGTGTAGTCCAAGAAGAAGCCGCAGCTACGAAGAGGCAAATAGGCAGCGGCACGTATGTAGCTGGACAAGCGTAGCCGCAGTAGCATAGTCTCAATAACGTAGCCGCTAATCGCTTATCGCTAATCTGCGGGCCCCTGTTTGGGCTCACTTGGCAATATCGCACAGGTGTGCAGCGAAAAAAAACATGGCGGGAGGAACCCCCCCCAAAAAAAAAAAAAACTTAAAAGCAAGGAACATCGCCCAGTGCAAAGGAAGTCGGAAAAATGAAGCCAATCCGATGGAGACAAATTTTCTCGTAACGGAAAATAAGAAAAAGGGAAACTTGGAAAAGTACATATGCGGAAAGGTCTGGCTGTACAATAAAATAAATAGCCTATACGCAAATTGGAACATTTTTAAGATGAGCATCCAAAGGGGTGCTCATAGCGAGGAGAAGGGGAAGCATCCGATAATGACCATGATGAAGAAGAAGAGGGGCAAAGCGCAGCGCTACACACATGAACAAAAAAATCGTAAGAGAAAAAAAAGGACATTCGCTGACATTTCAAATGAAAAAAATGCAGACACGGAAAGGACGGAAGGAAAGAACCATCCAACGATGTTCCAACATTTGGAATTGTTAAAATCGCTACTCTGTATTTACCACTTTTACACGACGGATGAAAGTAATGGGGATATGGGGCTTCCCCCCGTGGGGGGCACACATGGGGCTTCTCCGTACAAGGGAACTGCCCTGGGGAAGGAGAAGAGTGGCACAGAAAATGGCGAAATTCAAAATGGCGGCATTCCAAGCTACAATTTTCAGGACAATGAAAAATACAACAAAAGTCTGAGTGAGATTTTCTCCTCCATTGTAAATGACAAATGTGGATTCTTCTTCGTATTCAATGCCATCTTTTTTACAAACTTAAAAAACTTTTACTACTTTGTAGACATAATAAACGTCTTAAATTATTTGGGGCATGGGAAGAGTATCACCCAGAGGGGTGGACCTATCGAGAAAGACATTTTAATATATGAGCAAATTGCGTCCTTCGTGGAAAACTGCTACTTCTGTCTGATAGATGACGTAGATAATAGCGGCAACTTCTGCGCTCTCGATCAAGGGTGTCCAATTGGGAAAAGTACAAACCTAACGCATGGAAGGAGAATTAACTCGGATAAGATGGAAAAGATAAAAAATAAGTTAAAGGCACTTAAAAGGGACAAGTCGCACGAAGAATTGCTATTCCTCTCTATGAATGAATGCAATAAAAAGATATTCCATCAGTTTAGTAAAATCCCCGATTTATTTTGCGACATGTCGGAGATTAGCGAATATAGCAGGAGTGACCCCACCAAGGAGGGACACTCTCCAAGTGATTATGCTCCGAGCGAAATTATTAATCCCCAGAGCAGCAATGACTTCAGCAAGGACAGCCTGGGAAGGAAAAACACTCTTTTACTATACAACCAAAGTGATTACGCTAAATCAGGAACATACGAAGATTTAAGAAGCGGTAGTCTGCACATTTTGAAAAACTCCGTTTCGATAAAGTCAGTGGGGCAATCATCCGGCGAGGGTCTCCACAAGAACAGCTGGGGCAGCCCCGCCAAGGGAGGCACTGAACCGAATGGAAAAATACCATCCATGGGCGGCTACCCCAATGAACAAACTTCCCAGCTTCTTAACCCAAATGAAAATGTGCAAAAGGGATACATAAAGAATTTTTTCGCCAACTTGTTTAAAAATGGACAAGGGGACAAGGATCCGAAAGGAACTGCACTTGCTGCTGGGGACGAAAGGAACATTCCTCCTGAAGGGGACCTACCCAAATTGGAGGTCAATGAGAAGACTTCAGATGGGATAAATGCAAATCTCCCAGAACCTGATAGCGAAGGGGAAATCCCAGAAAATAATAACATCCTTGAAATTAGAGAGAGCGAAAAGAAAACTCCTCACGTAGGAAGCGACATAAGGGGTGGGTGGGAAAATCACCCAGAGGGGGACGCACCCAAAAGTGAGGAAGCCGCAAGTGACGAATCGGAATGTGACGAATCCAGATGTGACGAAGGGGAGGCACAACAATCATCTGGCAGCCACTTAGAGGGAGGATGCTCCGCGGTTAGGGAGCCAAGCAAGGTGGCACCTCCGAGCGAGCAGTCTGGAGAACAAAGCTGCGCAAGCTCTTCTCTGTCTGAGTCGTCTGCAGAAAAGGAGCGGAGTAAGAGCGAGGGGGCGAATGGTCAACCGGCCGAAGTGGAAGACACCGCTGGAGAGAAAGAGGAAGGTGCCCAATTGGAACCCCCCAGTGAAGACAAAACTGAGCAAGACCCAAAGGCCATCCCTGGCATGACGGAAAAAAAGGACATTCAACAGAATGACGGAAAGGAGAATTACCACCATCCATATGACGGCGATAATGACGGAGGAGCGACGGAGGGGAGGTCCGTACAAGAAATTTTATCCCTCCCTCCGCAGACAGAAAGGAGTCAAGTGAACAAAACGGAGAATCACGACGGTGAAGAAGTGGCAGAGGCACTTGGGCGAGATTCACATGAACAGGGTCCACTCGAATGTAACGAAATGCGGGAAAATACAATTAAAGACAAAGTTAAGGATGATGGTAAAAAAGAGTCGGAAAGGATTAAAGAAGAAGAAAGCAGACCAGAAATATTTTCACAAAGTTTGAAGCAGGAAAGTGGACTCCATAAATGCAAAAGTGGGAATGAGGACAAATTAGTGGAAACTGCGGAGAGTGGAGTCTCCCCAGGACAGATGCAGAATGAGGGAGGTACAACGGAAGGGGGGCAATCGGGTAGTAGTAACCCCAATGGGGAGGCAGAGTTCAGCGCGCAGCGCGAAACTGGAATGGTTACCATAGAAGGTGAGGAAAACGGCGCTGCTATTGTAGCAGGGCAGGCAAAACACGAGGTGGACCCTCCAGATGAGTTCGACGAACGTAAGAGGGGGCATGATGGCGCGGAAAAGGCAAGAGCTGGTGAGTCTTCCAAGGGGGAAGCCGCCTCAAACGAGGGAGAAAACGCATACAATGAGGGAGAACACGCGTCCAGTGAAAGAGAAGTCGCTTCAAACGAGGAAGTCTCATCCAAGGAGGACCAAAAGGAGGAACATGGCTCCCCGGAACCACCCCAAAAAAAACAGCGCACAGACGGGGCGCAAAATGCGGATCTGAACGGTCTAGTGAGTCAGTCGGAAAAGGAGGACGATCCAAACACCCCAGAGGGTGACCACTCCGTTTCGAGTGATGAAGAGAGTGATGAAGCGAGTGATGAAGCGAGTGATGAAGCGAGTGATGAAGTGGGTAATCAAACGGATGACCAGCCGAATGACCAAGCGGATGACCAAACGGACCCCGAATCGAACCACCAATCCGACGACGATCAGATCGTTCACTTCCTCAAGTCTAACAGAGGCAATCCGGACAAGGGATGGTACGCGGAGTACCTGAAGAACCTGTTGCGGTGCGACAAAAAATGCACATTGGAAAATCACGCGCAGGAGAAAGACTTGTTCCTCAGGAAGGTGAAAAAATTAAGTAACCTGGTAAAGTACAAAAAGTTTAAAGAAAAGTACAGCAAGGAGTGGGAACAAAAAATAGCGCTATTCAAATGTGACAAATTGAGAAGAGCATATAAAATTTTCCTACTGATCATATTCTCCATCGTAAAAGAAATTAAAGAATTGAAAAAGGAGCTGAACGATATGAGTCAATTTGTTTTTATCAATTCGGGGATCGAAAATTATTTAAACGAAATTAATATCTCAACGGTGAGAATAAATAAGGGGAGCGGTGTAGGGGCAAATCGTTTCGACGATTACCACCTGGGGAGAGGCAGTTCCAGCGGCTTCAGCAGCGACAACGTGATAAATAGCTTCTTCCTGAGGAGAGAATTCCCAAGGGAAGACCCCGAAAAGGAAACAAATGGAGCAAAGAAGAAAAAAAAAAAATACATTTCCTATGTCCCATTGCAAAACTACCACATCTTATTCCAATCGATAAAAGAAATATTCAATGAACAAAATGCGCAAGACAAATTAGCAAACATTTCCTACTACATCGAGCTGGACAAATATATTCCTCACTACTGCAGCTTATTTTTTGGCCAATTCAAGATTAAGAAGCAAGACTTATCGCACATTCAGAGCTTATATAGCAACTCAGTACCCACTGTGCCCTGTGTAAACATGTTCATCGCCTGTTTGAATTATAACTATTCCAATGTACTTCAAAAAAAATTCGTTTTTCAATCCGAATTGAATAATAGTTACTTGGCTAACCTCCCCTGCGTATACTGTTGCGACGTTCAAGTTGTGAGGCATGTAGGTTTTTTAAAATTAAAAGACACATGCCAAAGGATTATTAAACAGAAGAAAATTCACCAACTCTTTGTCAATCATCTTTCGTCCTCCTTACTGGACGAATCGTATTTTCTTGTACCATTTTTTACTTCCTATGGAAAATTTTTAATCGTTATAAAAAGTAACAGGAATGACAATCCGGAGTCTTCTTCGACAGATGTTTTACAAAATAAGAACTGTATCACTTATGACATCCTTATTAACAGCTTTGTGTTCCCCAATGGAAGTAGCTTCCAAGCCATTGTTCACCTGTCTCATGTCTTCATAAACACCCTGCGTGATTTTTTCAAGACAAGGAATTCTGATGAGAACATCCCCGAGATTGCCTTCCTCAGCTTGCCCCACGTGGACAAGCAGCATCTTCTGTACCACGAGATTGAGTCCGCTGCCAACCACACGGACATCATCGTTAGTGTGCTATTCCTGCTCGAGTCCTTCTTCAAGTGAGTCAAGCGCCATGGCTTTTCCCTCGCCTGGTCCTTAGACCGTGTCTTGTTGCGCCATTGCACCCGTTTCTGTTTTCCTTGCACCATTTCCCGCTCAACTTATCGCCGCCTCTTCGCCCATCCCCCCCCGCAGCAACACGAAAAAGATGAAAGCCCCCGCGGAGTTCAACCAAGGACTGCGCTTCCTCTACATTATCAGGCTTCTCGAATTTTTCCACCAAAAAGGGAATGTATCAAGGCATCAATAGGGGAATGACAATTTGTGACATCCATATGCGTGTGCACGCTTTTTTTTTTTTTTTTTTCACGTCCTTTCCCATTGGCTCATTATTAAAAAATATTTCCCCAAAACCTTCGGGTCATTTTTGCAACACCTATTCTGAAGTGAGGACGATTACACAACAGCGGTGACTCCTGCCCCCCTGCTGAAGTTAACTCACGTGTGATCAACTCGTTTTAATGTTAAATTTGTTAACACGCGGTGATAAGTTTGTCCGGACGGGCATCCACCCTCCAGTTTATCGTATATCGGAATTGTCTTGTGATGTTTCGAAAAATAGCGGACGATGCTCCGTTTTTATTCTTGGAGAGAAGGCAAAAAGGTAAATCGTTTTGCTTGATGATAGTATTAAAAGGGGTTGTAATCAGTAGTTGTTGAGAAACAACAAAAACAAACAAGAAAATAAACAAGAAAATAAACAAAAAAATAAACAAACAAACAAAAAAACAAGCAAAGAAGCAAACAAAAAAACAAAAAAACAAACACTGGAGTGGAAGCTAACAGGAAGGAGTCCGATGGATAGGGACAAAATCAGGCGAGTTGCGCCACGTGCAACAACACAGAAGGGGGAAGAATCATGAAATAATAATGGGGCGTTTGCCACGGAACAAATTACACTATCAGATGAGAGCAACGCTCTTATTAAATGAAGTGGATGAATGACAGAAGAAAGGTGCGCGCCGTGTGCACATACGACGCGCGAGAGACAAATGGTACAATTTCGCTGCGGGGAAGACGATTCGACGGCTACACCTGTGCTGGACAACGCAGGTGTGTGTGTGGATGGAAGGGAGGGCAGCTGAACATCTGGAGGCCCGCACAACTAATTCGGAATATAGAAAGTGCCATATATTGGAAAGTGGTCACTGGGGTGATAAGTATAAAGACATCTGTAAGGAATAAGGCCCAACCACGATTTTATGATATGAATTGGCCTGTACTTCTTCTGAATGGCCGTCTGTGGTACGAGGGTCTCCACATCGGTGTCGTTATTTACCAATATGTAATCTAGCGTGTCCTTATTTTTAAAGGAGTAATCACGCTCCATATGCATGCAGTAGTCGTTCAGGTAAGAATCGAAAGTCGTCTGGAGTGACTTTTTCGTCACGGAGCTGTTTAAGCAACTACTGGACAGTACTCTATCAAAGAATAATTTATCTAGATGATACCTAATATTAAAATCGCCAACAAAAAAAAGGGGCTCCCTTTTTTTTATGTGAAGACTTGGTGTTCCATTATACACCCAATTACTCAACTCATTCAATTGCCTCCATCTGCAATTCTGCCAATAACTTCCATATCCTGCTTGCAAGTGGGTCGCTATCACATTCACTGGTTTCTTATTAAGACAAACTTTTACGTAAATGGCACCTTTTGTACAGAAAATCTCTGGAAATACAAAGTTACTATATATCAAGGCATGTTTGTGCATAAAAGGGTGCTTGGACAGAACCATTACACCTCCGTTTAGGAATTGATAGAATTTTGATTTTCCTGACACAGAATCGAAGCTTGGTACATTCTGCTGGTTGTTTTGTTCTTTGTTTTTTTTCTGATCTTTCCACTTTTTCCCTTTCAAATTTTCTGCACGGCTCACACTGCTAGAAGGGCTCATTATGGCCTTCCTGACGATATCGCAAAACTCGTTTGTGAAGGCTCCCTGAGCGTCGTTACTATCATCTGTGCTCACCTTACCATCACGGTTGCTGTTCTCAAAGTAGGCTGTGTTCCTCCTACTCCTGCCCTCGTTAATGCGCTCATCTACTTTCGCATGTGGGACCTTCCCGAGACCATCCTTCTTGCTCGCTTCCTTGGCGCTAGTGCAAATTCCTGTGACGAGTTCGGAATTTCCAGCCTTATGGGTTCCTTGGGTATCCAACGGATTGCTTGGCAGACTTCCCGACTTCTGGATAAGCTTGTCTGCGCCACCTGCCCCCCTGCGATTAACCCTCAGATTCTGCCTTTTCTCAGGGATAGCCATTCCGTCGTCCGTTTCACTGCACCGTGCTTTTTCGTCGCAGCTGGTACTTTCCCTTTTGGTGGCGTCATCCCCCCCGTAGCGTCTCCCGTTTCGTCGCTGGTTGGGTACCCCATTGCTATCCTCCACCGCCTTATAATTTTGACTGCTTGCCTTTCCTTCTATTTTGTTTTCCCTTTCAAGGCCGCAGTTGAGCGATAGAATGTAGTCCGAATCTCCCTCATTCTCCGTGTCGCAGGAATCCAGGTTCAGCGTCTCCTCTGCTTCCTCCTGGTCGCTACTGTTTGTGTCACTTGTGTTAAAGGATGACGTTTCCTGTTCCCTTCGGGTGGCTTCTCTTGAAGTGGTTACTCTTAATGTGGGAACTTCCAAGGGTTCCTCTTTGGGAGGCGGTGACTTCGTGCTGACGGCTTCACTGTTGAGGTCACTGGGGCCTGGGGCTCTCGCGCCAGCGGCCTTCTTGTTTGCAGTTCTCTCATTGGTACTGGTGCCCGAAATTCCGTCTTCTTCGACCTCCACGATGGAGGTGCTTCCCCTCCCAGACTCCTGACACTTGGTGCCAATCACAGCAGTATGGTATGGAAATTTATCCTTCATCTTTCCTTTGGTAAGCATGTCATAACAGTTCTTTGTGAACACTTCGTTTAGGACAAGGATATCTATGTTGTGCAGATCGTCCAGGGAGCATATGTAGTCAATTATCGCATCTTGTCTCTTCGATAAATTTAACCGATGGTCCAAAGGAATGGGTAGCATCTGGACATTGTACGACATAATAGTTAGTTTTGTCTTTGTAGGGGCCTCTAAGTTATCCATTTTTTTTTTTTTTTACAAGAACAAAATTGAATTGGTAACTATACTTATGTGTTCACTGCAAAGTGGAATTAGGAATTCAAGGCGACTTTTTGGTTTATGATTCCCAACTGGTCGTCCTTTGAATGGGTAGCGGTG